CGATCCATGATGCTCTCTCATCACTGATGTTTCTATCTCTCTCTCCCTCTCCCTTCCTCTCTGAAATTAATAAAAATATATTTAAAAACACACAAAAAACAAGACGACAGTCAGAGAAGAGGCCTCGTGGTCACAGTGCATCTATGGTGTAACCGCAGGCCCGGGCTGGCCCTCCCGGGGCCCTGGGGGAGGACCAGGCCAGGGGCGGGTGGGACAGGGACAGACGGGCAGACAGGGAGGAAGGAAGGAAAGAAAAGGTGAGGAGGAGGCGAGGGGAAGCCAGCGAGGGGGAGGAGGGGAGTGGGCTCCGGGAGGGCCCTATCAGCCCCGCAGCAGCACAGCCAGAGCTCCCAGCCCCCGCTCCCCCAGGTGACCCGGTGCCACAGCCGCTGGGCAGCTCCAGCCGCCCGCACCGCTGCTCAGACAGGAAGTGGAAAGTGCTATCGGTCCAGCACACACCCTGGGCAGAAACACATCCGCGACTCTCTAGGGACGGCCGCGGGGCTCCTGGGTCAGAGACCGGCCCGACTCTCATGGGCACACACACAAAACAAACAAGACGACAGTCAGAGAAGAGGCCTTGTGGTCACAGTGCATCCATTGTGTGACCGCAGGCCCTGGCTGGCCCTCCCGGGGCCCTGGCTGCCTCTGGAGGCCCCGCCCCCCAGGAGGAGGCCTGGTGCGGGAGGACAGGAGCCTGGGTCCGGGAGCCCCTGAGCAGACCAGCAGCCTGCGCCCCTCTTGCCCCTGAGCTGTCACTCAGCCCCTGTCATCCTAGAAGGGACCCTGGGGGAGGACCAGGCCGGGGGAGGACCAGGCCAGGGGCGGGTGGGACAGGGGCAGACGGACAGACAGGAGGAAGGAAGGAAAGAAAAGGTGAGTGAATGGAGCCGAAGGGGTGAGGCTGGGCCCACGGCTGCCCGGGGGCCTGGGGCTGGGATGTGGCCGCTCCCCCTGCCCCGGACAGTCCCTCCGGGAGCACAAACAGCCTCTCTGATAAGCACCCAGGAGGCAGATGTTCTGGGAAGCAGACCCAGCAGCAGGAAAGGGGCGGGGGAGGGGGGGTCGGGGGGGGGCAGGAGGGCGTCTTGCCATGTCCCTCCCCTGAACGCAGGGGTTGCGGGGGTGGGGGTGGGGGCAACAGAAGCCTCTTCTGGGCGGGACTTCCTGGAAGAGCGTCACAATCACCAGCTGGGGTCCCTCCCCACTGCCCCCCTAAAAAAATCATCCCTCCCACGGCTGGCCCGGCTCCAGGCCCTGACCCCGGCAGGGCAAACCCATGGATGGGGCCCCCACACTCCCTCGCTACAGCCCCGGGAGGACTGGCACCCCACGGGAGGGGCCAGCACTGGTCATCGGGGTCCCCCTGGGCCAGACCGGTGACACGGGCACTGCCTCCTCTGGAGCTCCCTGAGCCCTGGGACTAGGAATCGACTCACAGGCCATCTCTTCTCTGCCCACAGTATCCTTGTCCCCACCGCCCCCCATCGCCCGTGCACCTGCCTGCTGCCCGCTCCGGGCAAAGGCCCTGAGGCCGCTCCCTTGCCGGAGCCCACACCCACATGGCCCCCACACGTCAGATGCGACAGAGGCACCTGCTCCACTCTCTTGCCACAGTCACAGGCCCTCTGGGAGCCCCCCCCAGACTCACCGTCCAATATCTGAGCAGACCTTGGAGTCGGCGGCGACTGCAGCGTGGGCAAAGGCCTGGGGGCCGCAGGGGGCGTGGTGGCGGGAGAGGACCACGGCGGGCACGATGATGGCCAGGGCCAGCCCCAGCCCCAGCAGCACCAGGCCGAAGGTGGTCCCCCGGCCCGGGGCCATGGCTCTGCAGCCCCGGGGGTGGGGGGAGGGAGGCAGGTGGGCTGACAGGCCAGCGGATAGACAGATGCACAGACAGCTGTGTGGTTGGATGGACCAGACAACACCCAGATGGACTCCCAGATGATTGACTGGATAAAGAGATGCAGCCAGAGACAGACACACGGACGGACAGGAGGCAGACAGCTGGAGAGAGGCCGGCAAGAGAAGGCTGGTCAGACAGACCACCGGACAGAGGCGGGTTAGCGCTGGGTAGACAGGTGGGCAGGCGAACGGCGGGCAGTTAAGCGGGCAGGTGGGTGTGCGGACAGACGGCGTGTGGCAGCCGGGCCCTGCCTTCCACAAGGGCTGCTCGGCGGGAGGGCTGCTCGAGCCTGAGCGTGGCCCTGGCCCGAGGCCAGGGGGCAGGGTGTTCATGGAGTTTTTCTTTCTCGAGGAGGAAGCTGTGGTTAACTCCCTCGCTGCCGTTCCCGCGGCCCGCCCGCCCTGGCAGCCCTGGAGGTAAGCCGCCCCTCCGTCTGCCCACGGTGCCCATCCCCCATGCCCGAGGACGTGGTGCCTGCTGGGCCGCCCACGGTCACCTCTGGTCCCAGCAAAGCCCCACAGCAGGGCTCAGAGAGGAAAGGGACAGTGTGGAGCCCTGGTCCCCAGCCACAGCCCCCTCGGCACCCCAGAGACAGAGGACACTGGGGTGTCCGGGGCACAGAGGCAAGGCTGAAGGGGGCCAGAGACAGACAGAGGGGGGACCCAAGGCCATCTCACTCAGGACCCGGGTTCAAGTCTTGCTCGGCCACAGCTTGGCTGGAAGACGGGGTGCGGACAGAGAGGGGTGGGGAGTGGTACCAAGCAGGGTGCTGGGTCCCCTCAGGGAGCAGGCCAGCTCAAGAGCAGCACATGCTTTTGACTGCAAGGCACCCGTGCGGTGAGTGCAGATGGGCATGTGCCAGCCCTTGGCACCAGTGCCCACCAGACCGCCCGCCCCGGGGCCGCTGCCCAGGAGCTGCCTCTGTGGCCTCCAGGCCTCTGTCTCTCTGCGGCCCTGGCCTTTGACGCTCCGGGTCACTCCTGTGCCCGCAGCGCCTCCTCTGCTGGGCCTTCAGGGCACCCGCTGGGGAGGTGGCTGGAGGAGGAGGCACCCCCGGAGGTGCCCCCTAGACTGGGCTGCGGGCTGGACGCCCATCTACTCAGTCCCCACAGTCCCTGCGGTTCTGCCCACCCCCTTCCCGGGTCTCCTTACACCTCCGGGGCCAGCAGAGAAACCGAGGTGCAGAGAGGGGCTGGACAAGCACGCAGGAGGCTCCTGGGCCCGTTCCCACAGGCCGGTTCCCACGTGGCTCACGGGGTGGGGAGGGCTGCGGGCGCCTCCCCCCACCCGCCCCCACCCCCACCCCCACCCCTCACCACAGCGACATTGCTCAACCAGGAACCAAAGTTCACTCCTGGGCCAGGGCCAGCCCACGCAGAGGCAGGGGATGGTTGGGGGGAGTCAGCAGGGTCAGGGGGGGGACATTCCCTTCCTCTCCCCAGCGTCCTGGTCAGGCCAAGGCCGGGGGCAGGGACCACGGAGCCAGCGCCCAGGACAGGAACGGCTGTTATGCCAGCCCGGCCAGAGGGGCCCTGAGTGTCTGCCGGACGGTGAGGGCCGGGAGAGGATGAGAAGGAAAGAGGGGGAAGCTAAGCCCCCAGCCGCCAAAGGAGCCCCCTGCTGAGCCTCGGGGGCCTGGGCGCACCCTGTCCTCATGTCGGGGCCCAGGCCTGCCCCCCACTCCCACTGGGACCACAGCCCGGGCCTCAGGCCTGTCCCCTCCCCCGAGAATGTGGTCACAGCCTTTCCTCTGGGACTAAGTGAGGGCTGAGGAGTGACTTGCACATTCCACCAGCCTCAACTCCATCCCCCCCCAACTCCCCGCCCCGCCCCCCGCCCCCAGGCCTCCGCAGGCACAACACGGGGTCCCTGTGGACACTTTGTTGTTTTTGTGCGTGTTTTCCTTAATATGTTTTTATTGATTTCAGACAGGAAGGGAGAGGGAGAGAGAAATGCGAACATCAACGATGGGAGAGAATCATGGACCGGCCGGCCGCCTCCTGCGGGCCCCACACTGGGGATCGAGCCCGCCACCGGGCCTGGGCCCTGACCGGGAATCACACCGTGACCTCCTGGTTCACAGGTCGATGCTCAACCACTGAGCCACACCGGCCGGGCCCTGTGGCCACTTTGGAAACACCGCTTCAGGAGGAGCGGCAGGCTCGGCCCCGCTGGCCCCTGTGCCCTGCCCTTGGAGGCCCCGCTTGTGCTCACTGGCCCGGCGTTACCTGTCGGGCCGCTCCGCCTCCAGCAGCCTTTCCTAGCCCCTCACATCAGTTACTGCAACTGTGTGTAAAGGGTGAGTTGGCAGTCCAGCCGGTGTGGCTCAGTGGTTGAGCATCGACCTATGAATCAGGAGGTCCCAGTTCGATTCCCGGTCAGGGCCCAGGCCCGGGCTGTGGGCTCCGTCCCCTGTGGGGGGGTGCCGGAGGCGGCCGGTCCATGACGCTCTCTCATCATTGATGTTTCTGTCTGTCTCTGTCTCTCTCTCTCCCTCTCCCTTCCTCTCTGAAATCAGTAAAAAAAAAATCTAAAAAGCCTAGTTAGCAGACCCGGAGTGAGGAAGAGGGGGGTTGTGTCCCCCCCAAGACCTACCCCCCTCCAGGCTGCGTCCCCAGCCACCCAGCCTCCAGCCCTGACCTTGGGGATCTGGGGCCTCTTCCAGTCGGTTCCCTGGGAACCGGGTTCCCTGGCTCTGAGCACGGCTTGGGCCTCACTCTGGGTTTGTGCTCGGGAAGCTCGCCCTGGGCCCGCTCGGAACAGCATGTTTTGCTCCAGCCTCTTGCCCAATCCCACTCCTGGGGCCTCAGCTTCGCCTCTGGGTGAGGTCAGCGGGGCGGGTCCGACACCGCCAGGCCAGGAGGTACCCAGGTGGCCAGCATCCCTGGGTTGCTCCTGCCCCAGTGAAAGCCAGGGCTATGGCTCCCCCTGGTGGCCAACCGTGGAAGTGCCGGGGCCCAATCCAGATAAGGGAGGGCCTGGCCCCTGGTGCTGGGGCTCAGGGTGCTAGGCAGGGGCCTGTCCTGCGCCCCCTCCCACCCGCGGGGCTCTCCACCCCCCCCCCAGACGCCCCATGTCACACAGGATGCTGCGGCCCAGGGAATCGGGAGCCCAGCAACACCTGGCGCCGAGGCCCCATTTATTGCACTGCTTTGCCCCTCGCGGGAGAAGCCCGTACCCCAAGTCCCAGCCTGGCCCGCCCCGCACCCTCAGTAGCCAGCCGGCTCCCCGCCTTTCCTGGAGTCCGAGGCGGCCGCCCAGCCGCCGTCCGTGCGGGCGATGGCCTGCACCACAGCGATGTAGGTGGACACCTCCTTGGTGTGGTGGTGCCGGCTCTTCAGGCCTGTGGTCACCGCCTGGGGGGGTGGGGGGGTGGAGAGGGAGGCCTCAGCGGGGCCCAGGCAGCCCTGGGCAGACTGGCTCAGTGGCTAGAGCATTGGTCTGTGGACCCAAGGGTCCCGGTTCGATTCTAGTCAAGGGCACGTACCTTGGTTGCAGGCTCCTCCCCAGCCTGGGCCCTCGTTGGGATGCGTGTGGGAGGCAACCAATCGATGTGTTTCTCTCTGTCTTTCCCTCTCTCTTCTACTCTCTCGAAAAATCGATGGAAAAATATCCTCTGGTGAACATTTAAAAAAATAATAAAAATAAAATGAAGGCATCTTAAAAAAAAAAAAGGTGGCCCTAGCTGCTTTTGCTCAGTGGATAGAGCGTCGGCCTGCGGACTGAAGGGTCCTGGGTTTGATTCCGGTCAAGGACACATGCCGGGGTTGCTGGCTCGATCCCCAGTGAGGGGCACGCACGAGGCAGCCGATCCATGATTCTCTCTCACCATGGATGTCTCTCTCTCTCTCCCTCTCCCCTCCTCTCTGAAATCAATAAAAGAAAAAAGCAGAGTAAAATATAAAACTTATTTTAAAAAGATGGCCCAGGTGGTGGGTGTGATGGCCCCTGCCCCCAGCAGAGGACACCAGCCACGGTCCCTCCACGGTGACCCAGGAGAGCCAGACCTCCTCCCAGGGTCCCCATGCCCCGCCCCCGGCCCCGGCTGTGCCCGCCCACCTGGTCCATGCCCCGCCCCCGGCTCCCGGCTGTGCCCGCCCACCTGGTCCATGCCCCGCCCCTGGCTCCCAGCTGTGCCCGCCCACCTGGTCCATGCCCCGCCCCCGGCTCCCGGCTGTGCCCGCCCACCTGGTCCATGCCCCGCCCCCGGCTGTGCCCGCCCACCTGGTCCCCATGCCCCGCCCCCGGCCCCGGCTGTGCCCGCCCACCTGGTCCATGCCCCGCCCCCGGCTCCCGGCTGTGCCCGCCCACCTGGTCCATGCCCCGCCCCCGCCCCGCCCCCGGCCCTGGCTGTGCCCGCCCACCTGGTCCCCATGCCCCGCCCCCGGCCCCGGCTGTGCCCGCCCACCTGGTCCATGTCCCGCTCCAGGGTGGTGGTGTTGGGCAGGAGCTGGTTGTGCAGCCGGGGCTCCTCTACCGCCTTCTTCACGTCGTAGCCGAACCAGAGGTTGTTAATAATGGCCTGGGGAGCGGGGACACAGGGGTCAGCACAGCACGGCCCCGGGGGCGGGGGCCGAGGGGACAGGTGGCAGGCACATACCAACGCGGTGGCTGTGGTGATCTGGGTGCCCCCAGAGGCACCCACCACCAGGCTGACCCGGCCGTCCCGGTCCACGATGATGGCTGGGCACATGGAGGAGAGCGGCTGCTTCCCTGAGGTGGGGAGGGGGGAGGGGGAGGGGGGGGACAGAGATGCAGGTCAGCTGCCTGCCCGGAGGGACGCTAGCCCCCAGCCCGCCCGGGCCCGCACCACGCACCTGGCTTGATGAAGTTGGCCGGTGAGGGGGGCACCCCGAACTGGTTAATGATGTTGGGGGAACTGAAGTCGTCCATCTCATCATTGTACAGGATCCCGCTGACCGGGGACAGCACCTTGGACCCGAAGCTGCAGACGGGCCGCGTCAGACGGCTGGGCACCGCCCCGCCCTCCCGGCCCCCCCACCCCCAAAGCTCCAACATGTACCCCATGTACCCCGTGAGGTCCGGGGCGAGTGCTCTACCAAGGTGGGGCCTCCGTTTCCCAGCACAAAAGGGGTTCATGGAGCCCCGCTCCTGGGACGCGAGGGCAGCCCCTGCCCGCCGCCCGCCCCGGCCCCAGGCCACCCGGCAGCCCCTACTAGAGGTTGATGGTGCTGGTGGCCGCCACGGCGCTGCCATCCTCGGCGACCACGGACAGGTGGGCGGTGCCCCCGTCGTCTGGGGTGTAGAACTCGGGCTCGTAGTAGGAGGCGGGGTGCGTGGTGTTGTCGGAGATGCGGCTGCGCAATTGGGCGGCAAAGAACTCGGAGCTCATGTTCCGGACCACCTGCCGAGACCCCAGAGCCAGCCTGAGGAACGGGGGTGGGCACGGGCACAGGCTGGTGCGGGCAGCTCTCGGGGATCCCCGGCCGAGGCTCTGACCACAAGCCTCCGGCACCCCAAAACTCACACGGCCCGGCCGACCCCTCTCTCCAGCCTTTGTCTCTGTTGCAGGCCAGCAACTCTGAATGTCTGTCTGTCTGTTCCCCAAGCCCCCACTCGAGCCATATTCATTCATTCATGGAGCTTGTACTGCAAGCCTGGCACTGGGGGGTCAGCAGGGAACAGCCAAGCGGCTCCCCACCCGCATGGCAGGGAAGACGAAGGCAGTGCTGGGAAGAACGAGCCAGGTAGAGGTGGTAGAGAACAATGGGGAGGGGGTGGAGTGGTCAGGGAGGGCTTCTCGGAGGAGGTGACATCTGAAAAGAACCCCGAATGAGGCCTGGATAGCCAATGCAAAGGCCCCCGGGCAGGCCTGTGAGTGATGGGCAGACGGTGAGTTGTGTTAGAAAGACAGGAGGTGGAAGAGGCCGCGAGGTCCAGTCCCGGGGCTCCCCGTAGGCCTCAGAAAGACTTTGGCGTTAAGGCTCAGCCACCCGGGACTGGGACAAAGCAGTGAGCCCTGGCTGTTTCCCCAGGGTCTCCGGGGGCCGGAGGCGGGGACACCAGCCGGGAGGGAGGAGGTGGCTGGCTCACCCAGGTGGGCGAGGAGGAGGAATTGGAAACGGCCCTCAAGTCTTCATCCCAGAGTGACCCTTACCCGGGGTGGGGGTGGCCGCTGCGGAAGGGGCAGGCTGGGGCCGCAGGGAGCTTGATTTTGGAAAGGTGCCCGCTCGACACCGAGCAGCGGTGAGCCTCAAGTTCACGGGCAAGATCGGGCTAAAGGGTACAGTGGAGACAGCTGCTGCCGGCGCGAGGCTGGACGGGCAGACAGAGAGGAAGGACAGACACGGAGAGGGGGGAGGAGGCCTCGCTGAAAACACGTCTCCAGAAGGTTCCAACCACACCCCGCAGGGTAACTGACGAGTCCGAAGGGAGAACCTACGGCCTGAATCTCCTCCCAGAGAGGCAGGCCCATCCCAGACGGGGGACCTTCCGCCAGAGGCTGCCCTGGGCTTTCGAAATCAGCGAGGCCCTGCCAAGGGGCTCAGGGGCCGAGCGTCCACCTGGCAACCAGGAGGTCAGGGTTCCATCCGGTCAGGGCAACGTACCCGGGTCGCGGGCTCGACCCCCATCCTCCCCATCCCCCAAGGGCTGCGACGCCCCTGCACCCCTCACCTCACTCCGACTACACCAGACCCTCCCAGCAGGGGGCACAGCCCGTGCAAAGCCTGGAAGGGGGAGGGGGAGGGGGAGGGGAGGGGGAGGGCCCCCCCCCCCCCCGGGGGCACTCATTCCTCTTGTCTGTTACACTCTGAGCTCCCGGGCCGGCCCAGACGCGGGTCTCTAGGCCAGTGATGGCGAACCTTTTGAGCTCGGCGTGTCAGCATTTTGAAAAACCCTAACTTAACTCTGGTGCTGTGTCACATATAGAAATTTTTTGATCTTTGCAACCACAGTAAAACAAAGTTTTATATTTTTGATATTTGTTTTATATATTTAAATGCCATTTAACAAAGAAAAATTAACCAAAAAAATGAGTTTGTGTGTCACCTCTGACACCCATGTCATAGGTTCGCCATCACTGCCCTAGTCCATCCTGCCAGGCGACAGGCCCGCCCCCTCCCCCGCAGGGTGGTGAGAGCGGATTCGCACAGCAGGCGGGAGGCCAGGGACACCCCTGCCGCCTCCAGGCAGACCCCGCCCGCCGTCGAGGGCCAGCCCCTGCCCTCACCTCAGTCACACTGACAAACTTGGGGTCCCCGAGCAGGGTCCTCTTGGCGTAAGCGAAGCGGAAGGCCTCCACGATGCGGTGGTAGGTCAGGCCCTTCTGCTCGGGGGTCTCCACGCTCGCCCGCGAGAAGTTGTACCCTGGAGGGCAGAGCCGGGCAGCGTTGGCGGCCTCAGGGGCCCTCGGGACATCGCCACTCAGCCGAGGCCGCTGGGTGCCTGGGTGCTCTCACCCCCCGAACCACCTGGGGAGCACTGAGTGGCCAGCAGCAGCCCGGCCGGCGGGGCTCAGGGGCTGAGCATTGACCTATGAACCAGGAGGTCACGGTTCGATTCCCGATCAAGTGCTCCTGCCCGGGTTGCAGGCTCCATCCCCAGTAGGGGGTGTGCAGGAGGCAGCCAATCCATGATTCTTTCTCATCATGGATGTTTTTCTCTCTCTCTTTCCCTCTCTGAAATCAATAAAAAATATATATTTTTTAAAATTACCAGGCCCTGGCTGCTTTGGTTCAATGGATAGAGCGTTGGCCTGTAGACTGAAGGGTCCCGGGTTCGATTCTGGTCGAGGGCACATGCCTTGGTTGCAGGCTCCTCCCCGCCCGGGCCCTGTCGGGGCTCACCCTTGAGGATGTTGAGGATGAGGGCCAGCACGGGCCCGCTGAGGGGGGCGCTGGGCACGTAGAGCCGGGAGTCCCCGAGGCTGATGCTCAGGGGGTGCTCGATCAGCTCCGCGCGGTAGTCATTCAGGTCCTTGGCGGTGACGATGCCCCCTGCGGCGAGACAGCAGCTCTAGGTGGGGAGGGGCACGGAGCGGGCTGCACTCTCGGGGCAGGGCTGCCCTCGGAGGAGGCTGGGGCCTCACTCTTGGAGGGGTCCCGCCCACCTGCAGGGCCCCCACCCCCACCTCCACTCTGCCCCCTCCCCCCCGTAGCCCCTTCTGCCCTATGGTGCCGTCTCCCCATGGCCAGGCCCAGGCCAGCCGTCCTCTCCTCGCCCTGGCCTCCAGGTTGGCTGTCTGTGCTCTGGGCAGCCTGTCTGTCCGTCTCCCCCTTGCTCAGCCCCCTCTTCCCATGACTAATTGGGGGGGGCGGGTGGAGGAAGGCGCTTCATTCTCCAGGGGAAGCTTGGCATTTACAGCGAATTTCTGTGTCAGTGGGAAAGGTCAACGTGCCAGTCACCCCCTCCTGACAGACAGACAGACAGACAGAATTCACATGGGGCCCCGGCCGGGCTGGCTCAGTGGATACAGCGTCGGCCTGCGGACTGAAGGGTCCCAGGTTCAAGTCCGGTCAAGGGCACATGCCTGGGTTGTGGGCTCGATCCCCAGTGGGGGGCGTGCAGGAGGCAGCCAATCAGTGATTCTCTCTCATCATGGATGTTTCTCTCTCTCTCTCCCGCTCCCTTTCCCTTCCTCTCTGAAGTCAATAAAAATATTTTTTTAAAAACTCACATAGGAAGAAGGCCGCAGCTCAGGGCGGGAGAGGTCACTTGGGGCTCCAGCAGAACTTGCCCCACAAGGTCCCAACCCCAGGGCCCTGCACGCATCCCAATGCCCCTGTGGCCCTCTTGGAGAAGTAAAATCGCCTCTCCAGGCCTTAGCCGGTTCCCTCCGCCAGGAATATCCTTCTTCTCTCTGCCTATAACGTGCAATCTCACCTGGAGCTCAGGCACCACCTCCTCCAGGAAGGCCTCCGGGGCCTGCACTTCAGTGCCTCCTGGGCCCTGGCTCACGCTTACACCTGCTTCCCACCCCCACGCTCAGGGAGCCATGGGTGGGGGAGCTTTCTCTCCTGAACTGTACCATCTCTCAGCTCTGACCTCACCGGGAGCTGTGGTTCCATGGCCTGTCACCCTCCCTGGCCAGATGGTCCCTGAGAGCCCAGTGCCCAGCCCAGGCCGGCCCCGAGGACCCCAGGCCCCTGGGCCCCAGCTCAGGGCTCCCTCCGCGAAGTCCCTCGCACTTACCAGCCGCCTGGATGTCGCGGACGATCTGGGCCGTGAGGCTCCCGTTGTAGAAAGCCTGGGCGCCCTCAGAGGCCAGCGTCTCGTAGGTGTCGGCCAGCCGCGGCATAGTCACTGTGTCCCCCTCCCGCAGCACCTTGCCGTCCCGGCAGAACACCTCGCTGGGCAGAGCGGGCTCCGTGAGGCCGGGGGTGGGAGTGGTGGCCGGACCACCCCCCAGCCCCCCAGCACGGGGGACGAGAGCCCAGGACAGCGGCTCCGGTCCACGCTCAGGCTCCTCCGCCCGTGGCCGGCCCAGGCCTCCTCACGTCCCCTGCTGCTCAGGGCACACAGGCCAGAGTCCCGGGCGCCCGGCTCAGAGTGAGCCGCCACGTGTGACGGGCAGGGGCGCATCTCCCGGGCCCCCCCCCCCCCCCCCCCCGCCCCCGCCGTTAGCACCGGCTCCCCGGGCGGATCGGCGGCGCCCGCAGACGTACCACAGGGCCGGCTGCCGCTCAATGGCAGCCCGGCTGCTATTCAGGGCGTTCGCCAAGCCCTTCCCCACGGGGAAGCCCTGCCGCGCCAGCCGGATGCTGGGCTCAAAGAGGCGGGCCCAGGGCAGCCGCCCGTGCCGCTGGTGCGCCAGCTCGTAGCCGCGGATCTCGCCCGGAACGGCCACCGACAGCCCCCCTGCCGGGCGAGAGGGAGGACAGCGTCGGCTCCAGACAAGGGACCTGGAGGCCTCGTCCGGGCACAGGCCCAGGTGGGACGGTGAGGCTTAGAGGGGAATGGGGTGTGGGGTCAGAGCTGGGCGTGTGGGGTCAGAGCTGGCGCGGCAGGCAAGGGTGCAGGTCACCCGGGACATCCCGCGGGGCACAGGGGGGCGGTGGGAGCGTGCGTGCGGGGCTGGGCTCTCCCAGGCCTGGAGGCCTCTCCCGCCGGTGCCACCACGCTTGCCAGGCCCACGGAGGCGCCGTGAGACTGTGGGGAACCGGACACACACCGTCTCTCCGCCTGCACCTCCAAGGACACGCGCCTCTCGTCCCAGGAGACCCAAGCTGCCACCCGCACCTGCCAAGCCCCCCAGTGCCGACCCAGGCCACCCCACACCTGGGCCCTCCCAAAGCCGGGGCCTCGCTCCTCTGGTCCCCACGGGACCTGAGCCCAAACCCCTGCCCCGGTCCCTCTCCATCTGACCACGAAGAGCTCTGTCTCCCAGCTCTGACCTGAGAGGAGCCCATGATTCTACTGGAAGCCGACCCCTGGGCCCTGAGTCTCCCAGGCCCGATCTGAGGATGGACCCGCCCACTAGAAAAAGGCATCTCAAGCCCGGCCGGTGTGGCTCAGTGGTTGAGCGTCGACCTATGAAGCAGGAGGTCACGGATAGATTCCCGGTCAGGGCACAGGCCTGGTTGGGGGCTCGATCCCCAGTGGGGGGCGTGCAGGAGGCAGCCGAGCCATGATTCTCTCTCATCACTGATGTTTCTATCTCTCTCTCCCTCTCCCTTCCTCTCGGAAATCAATAAAAGTATTTTTTTAATAAAAAAAGAGAATAGAGGGTTTAGGCAGCCTGCTTCGTCACCAAGGAACCGTGTGACCTCGGCCGGTTCGCGTGGCCTCTCTGGGACTCAGCGCCCCTGAGCCAGCGCGCGGGGCGGGTCCGGGCCCAGCGGGAGGAGGCTGCGCAGAGCCCGCAGGACCGTGTGGCAGCTGTGGTGACCGGCACTGTGTGCTCGGCAGGCGGCCCCGAGGCCCGAGCAGAAGTCACAGCGACCCTGTAGCTCTCGGTGATGACGGTTTTCAAACTGATTTTAGAGCGAGAGGACGGGTGGGAGAGGAAGGAGAGAGAGAGGTTTGCGGCTCATCGGTTCATCTCGTATGTGCCCCGGGCGGGGATCACACGCACAACCTCGGCGCACGGGGGCGGCGCTCCAACCGCTGCGCTACCCGGCCAGGCCTCCGTGATGAGGGCCTCGCGCATCCCTGACGGAGGGTGAGAGGGGCTGGGAAGGGGGGGAGGGGTGGGCATGGGCGGCATTACAGCCGCCCCAGGGGGTGGCACACCTGCCCGGCCCGCGCCTGCGCCCGCCCTCCCCCTCCCGCGCCCGCCCTCCCCCTCCCCCTCCCGCGCCCGCCCTCCCCTCCCCCTCCCGCGCCCGCCCTCCCCTCCCCTCCCGCGCCCGCCCTCCCCCTCCCCCTCCCGCGCCCGCCCTCCCCCTCCCCCTCCCGCGCCCGCCCTCACCTTCCTGCGCCTGCTCTGAGCTGTTGAACATGCCGGCCGAGGCCAGCGCGGGGGCCACCTCGCGGGCGTTGATGCCCTCGGCCTTCCCTGCAAGGAGACGTCAGGGGGCAGACGGGACGCCGGCGACACCCCCCCCCCCCCGCCCTCGGGAGCCCGGAGCCCCCCGGCCGCTCCGCCCGCCCCCGCCCGCCGGGCACTCACGGGTGGTGCTGTCGTAGATGGTGAGGAACAGGCCGCCGCCGATGCCCATGCTGTGGGCGTTCATGAGCCCCACGCACAGCAGGGCCGCGATGGCGGCGTCCACCGCTGAGCCGCCGTCCCGCAGCGCGTCCCTGCCGGGCGCGGGAGGCGTGAGAACGGGGCCCGACCCCACGCGCCCGCCGCCCCTCCACCCCGCGGAGCCAGTGCACCGGAGTTTTTAGGGGTTTTTTCAATGTAACTCTAAAACCAGTGGGTTTATAGTTCCTCTTTTTCAAACAAATGTACATAACTTTTTAAAAAATATATTTTTATTGATTTCAGAGAGGAAGGGAGATATAAATATATATACAGAGAGAGAGAGAGAGAGAGAGAGAGAGAGAGAGAGACATCAATGATGAGAGAGAATCACCGACCCGCTGCCTCCTGCACACCCCCACTGGGGATGGAGCCCCAACCCGGGCCTGGGCCCTGACCGGGGATCGAACCCTGACCTCCTGGTTCATAGATCGACGCTCAGCCCCTGAGCCCCGCCGGCCTGGCAATGTACATAACTTTTTAAAAAGTATGTTTTTATTGATTTCAGAGAGAGAAGCATGTAGGAGAGAGAAACGTGGACCGGCTGCCTCCTGCGCGCCCCCTGCTGGGGACCCAGCCTGCGGCCCCAGCGTGTGCCCTGTCCCGGCATCAAATCAGCCACCGCCTGGTGCTGGGATGAAGTTCAACTCGCTGAGCCACACCGGCCGGGCCACGTAACTTTTATAATTAAAAAGAATTGTTCCTTTTCATTAGCAATAGTTTTTTCTGTTTACGTCTTTAAGTGGGAACTGATCTTTGGGTAAAACGTGCGATTGGAGTAGAAAATAGTATCAAACAGCAGAGTTTATCCAAAGACACAGGCGCCCTGAGCACGGAGACGAGGCCCCGCAGCACCGGGGACCCGCGTCCCGCTCCTGGGCCCCGCGGCCCCTCCGTCCCCGCCCAGCGGCCGCGGAGCAGGTCCGAAGAAGGGTGCCCCTTGCCCAGGTCCCCTTCCGGCGGCCGTCCTCCAGGGCCCGCGGCCCCACGCCTGCCCACTCACCTCCCGATCTCCGAGCACTGCTTGGCGTCCGCGGCCACGGCGGCCCTGGGGTACACGTGGCTGGGCGGCTTGGGGGCGGAGGACAGCCAGAGGCTGAGGCCAATGACCAGCGCGATGGCCACCAGGGCCAGCACCACATAGCGCTTCTTCATGGACCTGTGGGCACGTGGAGGGGTCAGGGGGCAGGGCCGGGGGCCGTGCCAGCCTGATCCTCTCCTCCCCCCGCGGCACAGCCCAGTGTGAAGCCTGAGACATATCCCTGAGTCTCCCGCCTGCCTGCTGCCCAGAACATGTGCCGGCAACCATGTGCCCTGACCGGGAATCGACCCGTGACCTCCCGGTTCATAGGTCGACGCTCAACCACTGAGCCCCGCCGGCCTGGTGAACCCACTTAATCTCCACCACACCCCAAGCGGGGTGCCTGTCCTCCCCACGGGGCTGATTGGCAGTGACCTGCCCAGGGCCCGGAGCGGGCGGGGCACGTCCGGGCTCAGGTGGAGCAGGCATGCTCCAGGGCCCACCCCCTCCCCCTCAGCTCGGCTTCAGCAGCTGGTCACATGACATGCTCACCACTGAACCCAGCAAGGGGAGTCTGGGGGCTCCCAGGAGGGCCCCTGCTTGATAGAGATGGGGTTCTTACTGGGATGGGGCCCTGTGGCTTAGCGGGGAGGGTTTGGGGGTCAGAGAGGGGAGGAGCTTCTGGCAGAAAGAATGACCTGACCCAGCCCTGGCTGGTGTGGTTCAGTGGATAGAGCGTCAGCCTGCAGACTGAAGGGTCCCGGGTTCCATTCCTGGCAAGGGCACCTGCCCGGGTTGCAGGCTCATTCCCTGGTGGGGGGCGTGCAGGAGGCAGCCAATCCATGACTCTCTCTCATCATTGTGTTTCTGTCTCTCCCTCTCCCTTCCTCTCTGAAATCAATAAAAATAAAAAAAAATTAAAATAAAAGGAATCAGGCACCAGGGCTTCTGGCTGAATTCAACGCAGCCCCTCCCACCAGCACCTCCTGTCCCGTCCTCCAGAAGCTGTCAGCGGGCTCTCTCCCACGTGCCAACCAGCCCTGCCCTTGCCGATGCCCTCAGGGACAGCCTGCCTTCTGCCCTCTCCTCCACCAGGCCTGACAGCCTCCGGGCACGCCCTGTGCCCTGGCAGGGAGGCTGGGCCGGGTTAGGGCCCCTGACGGCAGGGGAGGGGCTGTGCTGGGAGGTCTGCCGGCCTCAGGGGCTGGGCTGGCAGCACCAGCGCTGGTTCAGGACACAGAACTTTCCCATCCCACGCGGTAGGGATGGGCAGGCCTGGGCAGGGCGGGGGCCCATCCACTGGGGTGGGCCGTGCTGGGCACCTTGGGGACATGGCCTCCTGTCTCCTGGGCGTGGGGCTCTCAGCTCAGGCTCCCCTCAGGGCCCTCCTCTCTCCTTGGGGAGAGCGCGCCATGAGTTCCTAACGCCCGCACGCCAGCCTCCCCTGTCCATCATCCGTCTGTCCATCCCCCATCCCAGGGCCCAGGTGGGCTCCCTGAGGGGCAGGGGCACGCAGGGAGGCTCAGACTGCAGGGAGTGCGGGAGGGTGGGCGGCTCGGACGCATCCCCCCCTTCCTCCCCCCTAGGGCAGCGGGAGGTCTGGCTCACCCCCCCCGCCCCCCCGCCGGCCCCCTCCAGGCAGACAGACACATCCAGCTTCCCAAGGGCACCCTGCTGGGGGCCTGGCTTCCGCTTCCCACGTTTTTCTCAAAGATTCACTAACAACGTCCAAGCCCAGAGGCCAGGCTCCCACTCAAACCGGCATTAGGAGGGGAAACCAAGGCTGGAGAGTGGATGGGGCCAGTGCCTGGCCTCAACCCCCCGCCTGCCCGGCTGGTGTGGCTCAGTGGCTGAGCATCCACCTGTGAACCAGGAGGTCACGGTTCGAATCCGGTCAGGGCACAGGCCCGGGCTGTGGGCTCCCTCCCCAGTGGGGGGCGTGCAGGAGGCAGCCGGTCCATGACTCTCTCTCATCATGGATGTTTCTACCTCTCTGTCCCTCTCCCTTCCTCTCTGACATCAATAAAGTTTACAAAATAAGATAAAATAACCAGTCCAGCTCCTAAGGACCCTGGGGGGCTTACCTGAGGCCCGGGGGCACCCGGAGATCAGGAAAGCCCGGGTTCCTCCGGGGACAGCCCTGGGCTGGGGCGGCCGGGCGGGAGGAGGCAGGCGGTCTGCCTGGGAAAGTCTAGGCTGTGGCAGAGCCGCCTTCCGGCTCCCGGGGAGGCAGCTGTGCGGGGAGGTCTGAGGGGCCACGGCCACGGCCACGCCTGCTCCCCCCGCAGCGCTGCTCAGGGGGCCTCGGAACTGAGCCTGAGATCCGGGCGGCACCTCCCAGGAGGAGCTGAGGCAGGAGCTGCTCTGGCCGGGCCCTGGGGACCTTGGACAGGACTCCCCCTCCCCCCAGGCCCTTATCTGATAAAGACGAGGATAAGGTTCAGCCACTTCCTAGGTCGTGGCTCCCACCTGCTCCCTGGCCAGGTGTCTAGACCGCCTGAGAGCTGCCAGCCGCCAGCCTTCTAAGCCTCTAAAGCGAATCCACACCCGCCCTGCAGGGCTGCGCCACCCGACAGACAGGAGACACAGAGGCCGAGCAGACAGGGCCGCCAAAGCGATCCGTGTCCGGGTACCCGCGGCCCTGGAGTGGCCCAGAGACGCTACAACTGCCGATCGGCCTGGGCATCACCCCAACTGCGGACCAGAGTGACTGGGAAGATGAACAGGGAAGGAACATCGGGACCGGCCCTGCCTGAGGGGCTGCCTTGCAGAGCTGTGGGCCGGAGGGGAGGGGTCGGCAGGGGAGAGCCACAGGGCTCCGCCCCTACCTGAGCCTGCTCAGTTCTCCCCCTGCCGGGGGAGCAGGAGATGAGCCCCATAAAAGAGGGTGTCTGAGTGGGCAGAGGAAGCCCAGCCCCCACGGGAAACCCCGGGCACAGCGAGCGGCCAGGTCCCAGGAGTGGGACCGGAGGGCAGGTGGCTCAGCAAAGGCCGTGGTAACAGAGGCGTGACACGCAGGAGGAGTCTGTCCCGTTCTGTCCGGCTCGGCCTCCCTCCCCCTGCACACAGGCTGGGGGGCTGGGGGACCCTGGCTTCCCAGGCAAGGCTGCAGGGGCTGAGCTGGGGGTCTCCTCCAGACCCCACGCCCTCTGGCCTAGGCACAGAAAGGGGGGAGCTCCCCATCTCCAAAAACGTACAAGCCTCACCCACACAAATGCTCTTTTTCTTAGGTGGTGGGGTGTTTTCTGTTTTGTTTTTTATATAACTTTTTATTGATTTCAGAGAGGAAGGGAGAGAGAGAGAAACATCAATGATGAGAGAGAATCATTGACCGCCTGCCTCCTGCACGCCCCCCACTGGGGATGGAGCCTGCAGCCCGGGCCTGTGCCCTTGACTGGAAATCAAACCCAGGACCCTTCGATCCACAGGCTGACGCTCTATCCATTGAGCCCAACTGGCCAAGGTGGGTGTTTTTTTGTTTTTTTTTTTAATTGATTTCAGAGAGAGGAAGGGAGAGGGAGGGAGGGAGGGGTAGAAGCATCAATGATGAGAAAGAATCATCCATCAGCTGCCCCCTGCATGCCCCCTGCTGGGTGGGGATGGACCCTGCCACCTGGGCCTGTGCCCTGACCAGGAATGGAACCGTGACCTCCTGGTTCATGGGTCGATGCTCAACCACTGAGCCACGTCAGCCAGGCCACCCAAGGATTCTGACTCTGCCATTAGCACCACCGCCTCCCAACACCTCTACTCACCCCCGAGCGAGCGGAACTGAGGCTGAGCCAAGCGAGTTCGGGGCGCGGCGGAGAGGAGGGTAAGGAAGAGGGCAGAGCAGCCAGCTCCGAGCTCTTCTGTTAATCCTCCAACTCAGCCCAGGGCTGTGTCATCGCAACCCCAGAGCCACAGGTTGAAAACAGGGCCCAGCCCCAAACCCATGCTCAGGCAGGAAACCCAGGCTTAGGGAGAAGCAGCTTGGCAACCAGGCGGCCCCCCGAAACCACTGTGCCCACAGCGAGGAGTCACCCACCTCGCAGCCTCCTCCGCCCCAGCCACACGGCCGCCTGGGAAGCTGGCCTTCCCCGATGCCCACCCCGGCAGCCCAAGGCTGAGAATCAGACCTGTCCTCTAACCACTATCTGCCGGAAACCTGTTGAAATCTGCCAGAGACACCCCAAAAGCGAGGGGCACCCCTAGAGTTGTGCAATGACCCTTGCACAACCGACCCTGCCCCACGCCCCCCACAGCCCAGCCAGGGCCGCAGCGGGGGGAGCGCGCCCCGAGAGCACGGCCCCAGCTCGCTCCAGACCTGACCCCCCCCTGCTGCGGCCTGGTCCCCTCTGCCCCCAGACCCTCCCAGGCTCAGGTTCTCCACGGGGCACCCTCCCCCTCAATTCCGAGAAGCCCGCTTCCTCCAAAGCCTTTTCAGAGAAGCCAGGCGGCCGCACCCGCCCTCCTCCGCCCACACCTGTGGCAGAGGGAGCGCAGCCAACCCTGCGGGAGCCCAGGGCTCTGCCCACCTGCGGGACCCCCTGCTGGCCCGTCCGCAGGAGCCCTGCCCTGTCACCCCGACGGGCAGCTCACTCCCTTCACCCGGGAGCATGACGTCGGGCAGAGCTGGGGCTGGACCCCGGGCCCCCAGACGTTCCGGGAGGCCCCAAGCCCAAGAGTCTCCCCCACCATGACGTCCAGCAGCTCCCCAGGGGAGATGTGCTTTGGGGTGACAGCCCCGGGGTCGGGATGCCAGAGCCCCCTCCATCCCAGCTCACCTGGCGCCAGGGCAGGGCCTCCTGCTGCCCAGCACAGGACTGAGTCCCGGAGCCCAGCTGGGCAGCTCCACCCTCCCTCCCGTGCTGGCCGGTGGGGGAGGCTTTAAAGGCACAGGAGCCGCCCCAGGTGGGAGGAGGGCTGTGGCCTCGCGGACGCAGTGGGGTTCCACGCCCTGACCCAGACCCCAGGCTCCTGGGCCTCAGGAGGGCTGTGTGTCCAGCAGAGGCAGATCAGACCCAGGGTCCCCTGAAAGGAGGTGAGCTTCCCCCCAACTTACGATATCCAGAGAGGGGGTCACACAGCATGGGGTGGAGCCAGACGCCTGCACGAGGTGGGGGGGGGGGTATAAGCAGCTTCGACCCCACCAGGTC